TAACATACAAGAGTACGTTTTAATTTTGAAGGATCAAACTTTGTGTGCTTTGAGTAGGCAAACAATTTCTGTGCAGCATCAAATCTACTAAAACAGACAGGGAAGAGATGGATGTCTCGTTAAGATATCTAACTTATGTGATAAGAGTACGTAGGATTGCAGCCGATCATCATTCTTGCCTTGTTTGGTTTCGTGTTTTCACTATATTAATGTCTAACTAGCATCGATTCATCGGGGCGGCATAATGATGAGTTGAAGACTTTTTGTACAACTCGCAAATTATAATCAATAAGATAGTAAAAATGCACTTGTTAATTACTTTCCTCCCCTCATAATTTCACCATATTGATAGCGGATATTTCAAATAAGAAATAAAAACAGGAATCGCTGCTTGCGGACTTTTTGCAGGGTATTTCCTTGAATAGCTTGGTCTCATTTGTAATTACCTGGTCTCCTCTGGCTAATTCAGGCTTCACTACAGACTGCAAGATATAAATTATCACCTAACGGTGAGTCAGATCCATGTAGGATATTAGTTCCACTTAAGAAGTGCTCAAGCTAATGTAAGCTCTATTTGCTCGGTCTTATCAACCGAATTACTACCTAAGGACTCATTCAAATCCTCTATCTTTATAAGCTGTTCCAGGATGCGCTGCGATAAAATGAACACGAAGCTGTCTACAAATATATTCCGATAACATAACCCAGCATATTTTTCATCCTTTGTCTACAATTAAGCTGTTGGCTGAATGTATATAAATATTCATTAATATCACAGCTATAGGCACGTCATTGTTATATACATATATATATATATATATATACTTTGGAAATCCACTACTTTATTTCATTAATGTGAATCTTCCCTAGCCGGACAAGGAGTTATGAGTCCATATTCTGAAATATCTTCTGCTATTGTCACCTCAGCTGAAATGTCCAGTCTCAGCTCTGCTAGTTCCCCTGTTACGCAAGTGTCACAACCACAGCCTGCCCTCCTATCCGCCTGGAAGTCGGCTCAGGCTCCATTGCTACCTCCTGAACCAGATCGTCTTGCCGATCCGTTCGACATTGGCTGGGCTGACCGAGCCATATCTAGCTTCAGTCCATTGGTGGTGACACAACCACAGCAGCATCTGCTACACTCAGTTCTGTCGACAGCACCTGGTATTTCAAACAGTTTAGCTTCAAGAGTTCAAGGGCCTCCCGGTGACCCAATGTCTACTACTAACCCCTTTCTTGCCTAGGAAGTGTTCTTGGACACAGTTTCTTTCGTCTGAAGCCCAAAATCTTCCTTATTCCTTTATCCTATTTGCTATCTTTTTCCTTCATCATGTCTTCGTTCAATTTTGTAAAGTGCATCCACACTGTGCACGAAAAAGTGATACATCTGCATGCTTAGTTCTTGATTTATTTATATACACCTTAATCACATCTATTGCTTAATTTTCCCCGACAAAGCCCTAAATTATCTATCAATATCTAACTGGCTTGTACTCATATGCACAAGTAATGATGTAAATCTATTTCTACTAGACTTAAATCATGCCGCTTACTTGGCTTGACATGTTGAAATTTTTTTATCTTTCTCTGATTTTCCTTTATTTATTTCCTCAATGTAGTCTATTTGTAGGATGATACATCTTTCTACATTTATCCTTAGTCTAAATTAATTTTGCTTTAACCCTGCTTTACTAGGCTGTAATTTTTCGATTTCGATATCTTCTTTAGAATGACGAATTATCTTTTTTACACACTTTGATTAGTTTATTTAATAGTTAAGCCTCCGGATTTCAATTTTCACTGCTGAGTCAGGTGTATACAGGATGGCTTAAGATAGTTAACAATACCTATCAACTTTGAACACATGAGTACTCATGATTTATAGGGCAAAGGCGTCTGAAAAATATTCATTTTCTTCATGGAGCCGGTGCTACTCATGCGCTATATAGGATCTGCTTTTTTATACGAAGTGAACGATCTGCATCCCGATTTGCTTTGACTCTCAAATAATATTAAAATTTCAAGCATAGAAATTATCCCTATTTGATATTTTATCTAGACCTCTTTGATTCCTTGCGAAAAATTCAATTTGCTTTCATATCCTTCACTACAAGTAACAAACTTCTTTCCTCTGTAAATAATAGTTACTCTTGCCTCATTGTACACTTTCCTTTATTTACAATCAATTCCTTCACCTCTTACTCCGAAAATACCTAGTTTTTATTACATGGTCTTGCTGCAAATTATGTGTAGCTTATCCTTTACATTACTTAATCTCTTTTTATCCATCAAGCTTTGTGTGCACCGGTTAAAACTTGCAAATTGAAGCTCATATAAGCTATGCGAAATGACAAGAAATAGAACTAATTCCCCCAGAACTTTTACTCAGTATCCATCAAAAACACCTGTCACTCAAAAATGGTGTCGTCTTAATTTACATCTTAAAAATAGTTTCTAATTTTTGATCTATCGGATATCTAATTTAGTTCTTTTTATCTGAGCACCCTCGGGTTTCATCTATTTATCTATAGCCATCAGGCTAATTTACTCAGCTATATACTTTTTTATCACTTCTTTTTCCACACATCCTTCCTATTCCCTCTATTTCATCCATGCTTTCATTTCCTTTAGCCTATCTGTGATGTTTTTATACTTTCTCACTTTTGAATTATGGTCTGATGTATATTCATGCTTGGCTAACTTTACGCTATGTATGCTTTTTTAATTCACTCCGCACTTTATTTCAGATACGAAATATATTTTGG